TTTAGGGTTTTGGGGCTTAGAGAAGAGAGAAGATACTCCTTTGCTGCTGTAAGTTCCTTTGCTGCTGCTGCTGGCGTGCAGCAGCAGCAGCAGCAGCAGCAGCAGCAGCAGCAATTCATCATCTTGCATGCGTCTCTGTTTTGTTGCTGCTGGTTTGCTGCGGGCTCCTGCTCCCCTTCGTCCTGTCTCCTTTCTGCTGCTGCAGCAGCAGCAGCCCCCTGCATCTGCTGCAGCAGCAGCAGCAGCAGCAGCAGCAACAACAGCAGCAGCAGCAGCAAGGGGGAGACACCAGCAGCAGGATGCTTCAGAGCTGCTGCAGCAGCTGGAGACACAGCTGCAGCAGCTAGAGCAGCTGCTTCCTCCTGACCCCGTCCCCTCGCAGCAGCAGCAGCAGCAGCAGCAGCACGAGCAGCAGCAGCAGAAGCAGCACGAACAGCAGCAGCAGCAGCAGCAGCAGCAGCAGCAGCAGCAGCAGTACGTGCAGCAGCAGCAGCAGCAGGACTTTGATCTGCAGCAGCATGAGGAGGAGTTGCAGCAGCTGCGAGAGCTACAGCAGCAGCTAATGCAGCAGCCAGCAGCAGCAGATACTGCAGCAGCAGCAGCTGCTGCTGCTGCTGCTCCGCAGCAGCAGCAAATGCCTGGGGTCAATGAGCGGCTGCAGCTGCTGCTGCAGCGAGCAGCAGAAGGACCAGGAGACGGGGGCCCCCACCTTTATGATGTAACTTCCTGCTGCTGCTGATGCTGCTGCTGCTGCTGTTGCTGCTGCTGCTGCTGCTGCTGCTGCTGCTGCTGTTGCTGCTGCTGCTGTTTCTGCTGCTGCTCTTGCTGCAGTTGCTGCAGGCGCCAGGGGTTTTGTCTTTTCAGAGCAAATGTAACTGCTGCTTGACTGTGGTTTGCTTCTGCTGCTGCTGCTGCTGCTGTTGCTGCTGCTGCTGTTGTTGCTGCTGCTGCTGTTGCTGCTGCTGCTGCTGCCGCAGCTGCTGCTGCAGAGCATCCGCAGCGGGGAGTTTGGGGCTGATGGTGCTGAGGCCTTAGAACGAATAGAGGTAAAGACACCCCACACGCAGCAGCAGCAGCAGCAGCAGCAGCAGCAGCAGCAGCAGCAGCAGGAGTAGGAGTAGTAGCAGCAGTAGCAGCAAGAGTAGCAGCAGCAGCAGCAGCAGCAGCAGCAGCATTAACGAAGACGTTTTTTGTTTCTCTCAGTAGGCTAGCTGCTGCATATGTTATACTGCAGCATAAGCAGCAGCAGCAGCAGCAGCAGCAACACCTGCTGCTGCTGCTGCTGCTGCTGCTGTTGGGGTGTATGTGCAGCGGGAGAGTG